TATTCACATGCATGAACCTCTTGTCTTATGTGAAGAGTTGAAAGAGAGGGATTCGCACAAGAGAATTACTTCAGCAGATACTGATTAAAGTGAAACAAAGTTGTTTACGTACCGAATAATTAGTCGATGGACTTTCTACCCATTCATCTGTAGCCCGTCTCATTCTTAGTTATTCACGTTTTTGTTTGGATTATAATGATGAATCGCAAATTTATTCTCATATTTCCCATTTTCAGAATTCTACAAGCTTATGACGTCGGAATAGACGGTCGTATGTACATGTGGTACATGACTAATATGACTACTAATACATTTATTTACCTAAAACAAACAGACCCTGTATTTCATTCGACTAATTCTTAAACCTTTCGTTCACTCTACCCTTTACTTCTCTCGCCCTTATCTTCTGATTTTCACAGCTCCCCAGATAAAGCCCCTTTGTGCATACTTTACAGCATAAAAAAAAGAAAACTCACAAGCCCTGCGCCTTAACAGTTTTGCCGACTCAAAACGTTGATTTCCGAAGTCACTTGCCTCGGGCTCCTCCCTAAATCCAGGGTACGTCTGAGACTCGACTATTCTGTACCTCGTCAAACGAGATTTCTGTCTAGCCCTGCTAGTTGATGTTCCTCAACCACAGCATCGATTGATTGACATGCTCCTCATCTTCGCCATCTCTTTGAGAGTAGTTGCGTGTTTGTATACCGATGTGCTTAAGCTTGTTGTCGTATTTGTAACTAGCTCCAGAATAAATGCCTTTAACTACTCCTCAATATTTGTTAAGAGACATATTTGAATCATGAATGGAGCAAACAAATGGAGAAAGAAGACGATTTCAATGACCTATTCAACTCAGACTTACCTTCGAATTGGTATAGTCTCGAGAAGAGCAGATCTTAATGTTTAGACGTTTCGTCGTCCTTATTCAAGACATTTGGCTTCTTCATCTACAGGTCTGCTCTTCTTTTTACTTGCTCATTCTCTCGCTCTCGATCTCTCAATCTCTCCTCATCGTCAAGGCTTCTTCCAAAGTCAGGAGGGTCAATTTTTGGCGATTTATGTACAGACGACTGCAGATGAAGGTGGCCAACACTTCAGCACATCGCGTCGTGGTACTCTCGGTTTTCGTTTTGGCTATCCGGCCTATCGTCAATCGCGTCAGACACCAATTAACTTGGTCAAGTCAACTCATTTGCCCACCAGACAAGAAATAATTTAGCAATGTGCATTTTAATCACACAGACATACACATAGACATGCATACATACATATATACATACACACATACATACAGACGGACAAACAAACAGACAAGTAAACAGGGTTTGGCCAGTTGTGAAGACTTTCCTCTTGCTCCCTTCACTTGCTTAACTTGACTCTCTTCACAAATTCATGCACTCACGAACATATAGTCAAACGTGTTCAGGCGCAAAGATTCTAAGGATGAGACTATGTAGGACCCTACAGGCTTAGTGGATCCTAAGCAAAATGTTTAGTGTCACGTGACAAATGAAAGGGAGCTGGAGATGTTTTTATCGATGCTCTGCTTATTACGACCTCTGCTTCTGAAATAGCCCCTTTTTAGGATCTCATTTCGCTATCCGTATACTCTCTCCCATGCTCTCTATTTCTCCTGTACCCTTCTGTACACATCTTCAAGCATAGTATTTTGAGGCATATCCATAAGTGAATCAGAAACTAATGAACGTCTGTGACGCACCTCCCTTTGCT